AAAACTCTGAAGGGCCCGTGGGGCATCTAGTTACAAATGTCCTGGGGCACCTGGGGGTTCAGTCGGTTAAGCCTCTGACTTCAGCTGAGGTCATGATCTCACGGTTTGTGGGTTCGAGCCCCGCGTCAGGCTCTGTGCTGACAGCTGGGAGCCTGGAGCCTGCTTCGGATTCTGTGTCTCCCTCTCTCTTTGCCCCTCCTGCCCTCGTGTTCTGTCTCTGTAAAATGAATAAACCTTAAAAAAAATTTTTTTTAATTAAGAAAAAAAAGTGTCCATGAAGCCACCAGGGGAGCCAGCACCGGCTCCGAGAGCCCGATGTGTAGGCATGAACAATTAAAGTCATGAAATCAGATTGGATTGTTCAGTCGAAGCATGTCAGGGAGAAAAGATGTGCGTCAGGCGTGGGCACAGAAGTCCAGCTGCTGTGTTATTTCTGCCTCCTCGCTAGTTCTCATTCCATCTCGCTTGCGGGGAGAGAGGACCGGGCAGGCCCTGCCCCGGGCACACCACGCTTCGGAGGGGCCCCTCCTGGCTGGCTGATCTGACTGTTCTGGCCGCAGAAAGGACTGAGGGCATCTTAGGAAGACAGGCCAGAAACAAGGCGGGATGGCATGGACGTGGGAGAGAGAAGAAAGGAACACGAGACTCAGAAGGAAACGAAAAACCCATGCGAATCGGACAGTGATCTTGTGGTAGCCTTCTGGGAGCACGACATGTCGCTCGTCATGGGATCTCATGGCTATAAGATGAAAAAATCCTCAGGAGAAGTATGGCTTTTCTTGACAGTATGCTCTGTGCTAGATGTCAACTGTGTGACCTTAGGCTGGTCTCACAACCCCTTGGCGCTCTGTTTCATCTGTAAAATGGAGTCAATCGTGGTCTCTCCCATAGGGCGGTTGGGTGCCCGTCTGTCTGTCCATGTGTCCAAGTGCCTTCCTCGTCCTCACTCATGCAAGCCTGGGGATGAGCACGTAGGTGAATCGGGAGGGTCGGCCAGTGGCTCTGGTGAGCAGGGTCTCCTCTGGCCAGAGCTAAGCGCCCTGAGTCTCATTTTTGACTTGGCCTCAGTGCGTTAGCGGATTGTCCACGAGGCTGTCTGTCTTGTATCGCCATCCACGGGCACTGGCCCAGCTGGTCAGACGCTGGCTGGGGATTCTTCAGGGCCATCCCGCGGCAGGCTCCAGTTTTGGGGGCTCCAGGGTAAAGCTGTGTTTTCATGTGCCTACCAATTTGTAATCGTACAGGATTCTGCATAGTTTCAAGTTAGCAGACAGACACAAGCTGGTTCTGCTGTTTCATTTGACTTGAAACACAGGTCTGGAGTTCTGTGTGGAGATGTCCGAGTCGTATGTAAAGTAGACTCATTTCTTAATCTCTCCTTAGGGTGAACCGTATCTGAACACGGCGTACGGGCACATGATCTGCTACTGGGATGGCTCTGCTCATTATTTGATGTATCTGGTGATGGTGGCAGCCATAGCATGGGAGTAAGTCGGTCCGTCTGCTGTGTGTGCCTTTGCCTTAGCAACCGGTACGCGGGTACGGAAGGAAAACACAGATGTGGGGGCAGATACACAGACAGGCATACACGGACATGAACATATGCTCCTTGGACACAGGTTAGACGTGGCTTTGTTTTCTTGGCATCGCTGCCTTTTGAACATGGCCCTCTGGATCGTCCCCTGCCGTGGTGACAAGCTTGGGCAGACCGCTCGAGTTACTGACTGTGTTCTAAGGACCGTCTTCATTTGCTGGAGTGAAAGCCCAGTCCGTTCTGGTTTTAAACTTCCATCTCATTTCGGTTCGAAGCTCTGTCTTTCCTCCACCTCCGGTTCCCGTGTGGCCCTGAGGCGTGGGGGTCTGCACTGAGGTCAGGGCGTATGGCCTCTCGTTTTGTTCTTTCTCGAGTCGCCGTGCAGCTGGCCTCTCCGGGAATGTGTGTGTACGTACACGTGGAGCTAAAGGAAGAGGGGCAGGGTCTTAAGTGACACTTAGTTTTCTGGGGATTGATGCCCTCCGTTAGGATATGCTAGGTCTGTCACGTGGAACACGTGTGGCCTCTCGGGAGACCCTTCCACAGGAACCTGGGCGTTGCAAATCCAAGCGAGCAGAGCTCTCTCTGGCTGAATGCGTGGGACTCCTCTGCCATTGGTGGTACACCCGCAGCTTCTTTCCGTTGGGGTCCCTGTAATCTAGATCGCATACCCTTTGGGGTAGGATCTCTTCAAGCCCAGCTAGGTTCCTGGGCCTCCCCTTGGCTCCAGGTTAGAGAAAATGGTGCATTCTTGCCCCATGCCCCTGCTGCCTCAGTCATGAACTCAGGGACAGCTCCCGCTAGGTTTTGGACTTTTCTGGGCACTGGCTTCTCTCATCATGAAAGGTACCCAAGTTCCAGGGACCACGTCACGTATTTCAGAGAATGCCTGGGCTCTGCTCGGAGGCTGCCGGGAGTGGGTGAGTTTTGTGGCTCAGTTAGCATCCTGCTGGGGAAGAAGATTCTCCTGCTGACAATCCCAATCATTGTGAATCTGCTGCACTTGGTTTGGGAGGTGGGGTAGGCAGAAAACACAGTATCGGCCACCTGTTTCCCTTCAGATAATCTCCTTCTGATTCCTCATAGCCCCTTGTGGAGGTGGGCTGTCGGGGTTATCGGCTGAAAGAGCTTTTTGTCCACACTGCCTGGTAAGGTCAGGGGTGTCTGGTGGCTCCTTTTGAACACGGGGGAGGGGTTACATATTATCTTTGTCTCTAGAGCTCTGGCCAAAATTCTGACACCATGAAAAGTCCACTTACCATCCTATCACTCATACTTACAGTGATTTAGAATATGGGTCCATTTCCTTTCTTTTTGCGAACTTTCTTTTTTCCTTTCCTGCTGGGAACTTCTTACAAAACCGTCAAAAATGAGGGACTTCCTTTGACAGTGATTGTGCTGTAGATTAACAGACGACCAGTGTTGCAAGCGAAATTCCTATTCAAAAGGACACAAAGAGGGTTCTATGGTATAGATCACAGGTGGAAATGAAGTTTGATCACCAGGGTCCCCGAGGGTTGGTTTTTAACTATCGATTCAGTAAGTTTCGGTTCATGGACTTTACTAGTTAGGATACCGCTAATAATATGGATCATCTTTTGCTAATGGGTGTTCTAAGACAAGTGCACTAAACCAAGATTTTTTCATTACAGGGAAAGCTATAGAACCATTGGCCTCTACTGGGTTGGATCTATTATCATGAGCATTGTTGTTTTTGTGCCAGGAAACATTGTGGGTAAGAAACTTTATCTTAAAATTCACTTTCCTTTTTCTGAAACAATGGGGAGTGTTCTTAAATAGAGGAGGTATCTTGGTTGTAACAGAATCAAGAAATTCCAAGCTTATCACAACGCTGTTTGGCAGAATTCTTCCTTTTCCCCTCCTTAATCTCACTTTTTAAGAAACGGCTTTTGAGCAATTTTTGGAAGTAGACACTGAACAATTAGACAATGTTGTATCAGGGCTTTCTGACATATAGGATCTAGAGGGGGTGAGTATTGTGTTTGCGACTATAGGCAGTGTGCAAATGCTTCCTACAGCTTTGTGTATTATATGTAACTCGATACATTCGATAAATACATTTAAAAATGAAGGCTCTCAAAAGCTAATGTAAAAGGTAATTTACATGCGCAAGAAATCAGGGCATTATATTAAATATACTTTAAAAATACAGTGGATAGAATGTGCCTGTTAAAAAGCACCTGATAGTTTTAATTTGACCTGTTTTTTTGTTTGGTTTTTTGTGTGTGTGTCTCATTTAAGAATATTACCTGGTCCCCAGCACAATTTTAGACGGCTTGAGGTGGGGCGGTATCCTAAATGTTGCTTGTGTTTACACGTGCTTGTGGCAAACTTTTGACTTTTTCTTTCTTTCTTTTAAATAGGGAAGTATGGAACACGCATTTGCCCTGCTTTCTTCTTAAGCATACCATACACATGTCTTCCTGTCTGGGCTGGTTTCAGAATCTATAGTCAGCCGTCAGAAAATTATAATTATCCCTCAAAGGTGATTTTATTACGTTAACTGTAACCTGTTCCCAAGCGCACAGGGCTCACTCACATCTCCTGGTGATTGCACTGAACCACGCCTCCGTGGACGGGAGCATCTGGGGCAGCTGGTTTGACTGTATCGATTCTGTGCATCGGTCACGCCTTAGTTACAGTGGCAAGGGAGGGTGTTTCTGTCTGCTTCAGACATCTGCTTCAGTGGGCCAGGCCGTGCTGTTGGTCCATACCGGCTGTTCCCATCAGATGCTGCATTAGTGCATGGCGTGTGTGGTTTGTCTGAGGCTGTTTATGGCCTGGCATTTGAGCATCCGGGCCCCTCTTTCAGAGATGCCAGTGCATGTACTGTCCCAAGGGGAGGCTGGAGAGATGCTGCTATTCAAGGTAGCACACACAGCCACAGGGTGTGATTTACCCAGAGATCCAGGCACGTGGAGACTGGCTCCATGACGTCTTCTGAGACCCCTCCCATTCACAGCCAAGGTGGTTGAAGTGAAACAGTACTGGCTGGGGGC